GTTGCTGTTTTTTTTACTGTAGATGTTTACTGTGTTTATATTGTTTTGTTTTTAACATACAAGTCTAGAAATTTGTGTAATTGATGTAGAATTCTGTAAAAAGTACATCTTGACTTGTAAAATTTCTACATTTGTTAGCATTATTGCAATGAATTTATCATTTATGACTGAGTTACAATCATAGTGATACGATTTTACTTTCTTTTAATGGTTTCATTTGTGTAATAGAAGTATAGAACTTTCTTTATAAAGTTTCGGGTATATATGAATATAGGGAACCGATTCTTCTAAATATGATAAATACTAACTATGTGTAACGTTACCATAGTTAAATATAAAGGGGCAATTACTAATCTAACATATATATGATGGCTTACGGGTTACAATAATTTTTTTTTTTTTAAAAATAAAATAAAATACAACCATAGGCTTCATATGAAACCTATGGTGTACAAATCCAGACTGCATAATATGTGTACATATACAACATAATTTTTTTTAAAAAAAAATAAAATAAAATATAACCATAGGCTTCATATGAAACCTATGCTGTACAAATGTACAAATCCACACTGCATAATATGTGCACATATACAACGTAGGTATCAAACCTACGGTTTTAATATTTTTTTGTGATTTTTTAAAGTTATCCCAATATATAAACTCTTAATCAACAATACGGTAAAATTTTGTTAAAAATGGACTTACCTTGTTGTTTGGGTGCTTATTTGAGAGAAAAAAAAATTGGTAAAACCAAAAAAATAGTCAAAATAACATAATCTGAAAAATTATACATTATATACTATGATCCAAAGGACCACAAAAGAGTAGACATGCCAGGAAACAGTAGTTTATTGCCACGAAATAATAGTTTTTCTACCGTTGATGGTAGTCAACCCTGACCAATCTATTATTTTGTGGGCTACTTTTGGCTAATTTGTTTTTTTTTTTTACTATTTTTGGATAAGTAATTAATGTTTTTGGCTAGATTAGTAATTTTTCCAAATATAAATATATTAATTATAAATAATGTTATATATTATTAATATTTATGATATTTAATTATGGTAATAGTCTTTATAATTACTAGTTTAATTAGTATTTCTTATATGTACCTTAGTCACATATTTTGTATTTCCACTTAATATATAGATTATTATATACTTGGATCTTTAATTTTAGATAATGAAGGGAGAAAAATATCCTCCCAGATTATATATCCTTCTTTACATAGTTTTTAACAAAAATATGGCATCCATGGAGAATATAATTACAGGTTGATTGTATTTGAAAAACTATTTATCAAATAATGGTAATATTTATTACGACTCATGTTCCCAAACTAAAAAATAAATATAGGATATGTTTGGGTTCGCTTTTTTATGTTAAAAGTGATTTTTAAGAAAAATGCTTATTAACTTATGGCTTTTAGGAAAAGCTGGTTTTAAAAAGTTTTTGGATACGAAAAGTTGCTTTTTCAGAAATAAAATGGTTAAAAAGTTAGGATTTTTCAGTTTTTTGAAAGTTTTACTTTTTCCTATCCAAAAAGTTGTTTAAAAAAACGCTTTTTAATTAGACAAACACTTTTTTAGCTTATTAGCTTTATAAATAGCTAAAAAATCTAAAAAGTTTTTTTAAAACCTATCCCAAACACCCACATAGAAAAATTAGACTCACTTAACAACTTTTTTATTGAATCTCTTGTCTCTACTCTTCATCAGAACATTCTTTAAAAGGAAGGAATGTTGGAGAAATTGATTGAAGTTTTTTGGGTTTTAGTTTTGCTTAAGTCTCTTTCCTCTTTTTAACTTCTTCTCCAGAGTTTTTGTGTTGGTTTTTCCCCACACTCAACCTTATCAGTTGGATCGATTTGTATGTGGTGGTATTAAAGAAGAGACATGGTGATGATCCAGAGTCGTTTCGTCTACGTTGGTTTTCCTTTCTAGTCTTGCTTTAACAAATGGTGGCAACCAATCACACCCTTTCTTTGAAACGCCCCAATAATTATAAGGTAAAACTTTCAGTTTTAAGTCAATCAAAAACATCTTTAATCCATTTTAAAGTTAAAATTATATCAGAGTAAAATAATTATCAGAGTATAATCCAAAATCACAAAGTGCGGAAAAATGGGTGGATGTGGTGCAATCCCCGCCCGGTACATTCATTAGGCCCCGTTTGGCATCGGTTCCTGTCCGGTATACATATTACATACTACACATGCAAGAGTCACACAGACAACTAGCATCCTAATCATAATAAATCACGGGTTGGCATTGGTACCATCGACCGGCCAAACACTAGGAGGAGACTCACCTTAGTCTGCTGACAGTCAAAACTATGCTCGGACTACTGAACCGGAGGATCCTCGCACTAACCAAACAAATAAAACCGCAATTAATAATTGGGCCTTAAACTATAACCGGGAATCTAGTTCATTTGTCCAATACCCAGGGTAAAAGTCTATTTTACCTTTCCCTCACTTGGCCCAAAGTCAAAAAGGCTAGTGGCCCAACAAGGCCCAAAACCCTAATAGTCCAAATATGGCACAAATCACAAAAATCAATGAAAGTCAAAAGCTGAGTACGCCACCCTTGGCCAGTACGCGTTGCATATGAGCTAGGCACGCCTAGTGTACTCCACAACAGCCCAATCTCACCATTAAGTGCTTAATTGGTTGAGCCACCAAGTCCACTTCTCAGATCTGATCCTAAATAATGTACAAAAAGTTGACAACTTTACTCATTGGCATGTCTCAATGGGACCCAATACTTGTTTTTTGACCATTAAAACCTATATTATTGAAGACGAATGAAAGTAATAACAATTAACTATTGGCATCTTATTTTGTTAATTTGTTTAGCGGCTAATAATAGTGATTTTGAAGCTTACCGATTGAAGATGAATGGAAGTAGCATTGCTGAAGAAGATCGTTGTGTCGTCCATGGATTTCTAACGCTTGATTATGCGACGTGCTGAGTGTTTTTGGTAACAAAAATCTGTATATAAGTTAAGGATTATAATAACATAAAAATAGTTAGGATCCCATATTATCAACTCCATATAATAAGTAAATGAATTAAGGATATAACAGACCATATATTAAATCTTTAGTGGATATATCAAAAACACCCTTAGAAGAACAGCTCACTTGAATGTAAAATGTCGAAAATAATATTGTTGTTAATTCTGTATCATTAAACTCCTCTTTATCGAATGGGTAAACTGTAATGATGTATTATGGAACAAATGTTGTATTAACAAATATTGTTTTCTATTGAACGAGTTGTCCAGATAAAAATAAATGACATTTATATCTTAAGAGCATCCACAACGCATAGTTTAATGAGAGAGTTGAACGATGCGACATGCCTAATTGATATTCACTAGATTAAACTCTATCATTCTAGGATACCATGTTGACATTCAATGGATATGAAATTCAATGACCATTGAACTTTCCAATATGGAAAAGAACCCTTTAACTATTAAAAATGTATTTCATTAAACTTTATATAATTCAATGCATTTTATGAAAATTAATGTAGAGTTGTATAGAAAGTAGATTAATGACGTGTCTTTAAACTCTAATAAATTTCATGCATTATTGATGCCCTAAATAAGATAATATTTGCAAATTGTTATTTGTTTTTGTTCTCCTTCAACTCTAACATCATATTTTTAAGCTCTAAGTGCATCTTAAGAAGCAAGTTTGTATATTTGTCTAGAGTTAATTCCTCATATAACCTCCCTAAATATTACAGTTTTTTCTCTTGTCGTGTAAAAATACCACATTTAATATTTCTTAATAAAAAAATGATTGACTGCATAGCATTTCCTATAAACATTTAAACACAAATATTGAGATTAAGGAAACACCAAAACCTTCTACCAAGGCTATAATGGAGCTTCTAAATTGCATCAACCTCTCAAATCAACCTCCTCGTTCTATAGCTTGATACAAATGATAAAGAGGCTATTAAAATGAAGAAGACAAAAAAATGATATATTAGGTTATACATAGCAAAACCTTCTCTAGTTAGATAGATTACTTTTCCTCCTCGTCAATTGTAATTAAGTCGTATGTGTATAACATGTTCGTTTGTAATTTAATATTATTAAAATCATTAATTCATAAATAATTCAAAAACAGTGGCTGACAGTTTGCAACATTGAGGAAATACAAATATTTTTTATGCATCTTTTCTCATGACCAAGGATCAAAATTGTAATTTTTTAAACCGTATAAACGCTATCTGTCAACTTTTAAAGATAAACCGAAACCAACTAATCTAATCAAACAACAATGTCTACATCTACATTAATTAATGTGGAGAACAATTAGATTAACTAAAATAGTCAAGTAGTTGAGGGTAAACTCGTATAGCTTAGTTGTATCTAATACGCGTAAAAAACTAAATTATATAAAGAGTCATATGGTTTAGCAAGATAATCAATTTTGGTTAAAGTTTTTGTTTTTGTTATACACTAGTAGTCATGGTGATGAAGACATTAGGTTAGATTTTGTGTTTAATTATATTTTGATTATATTTCTAATTTAATTTAATTCTCATATAATAATTATTACAGAAAAATGCGATAAAGAGATAAAATAATTAAAAGAAAATCTAAAATAAATGACAAAAGGTTAAAAAGGTCATTTCATATGGCTTTTGGACCAAAGCTGCTAATATCACTATACCACAGGGATACCGGTGGAACAGAAAAATAGTTGGACCCATGTTTTCTATTTCACTATAATGCAGGGACCATTTATGTAAATTAGTGTAAAAGTAATCACAAGTTCATAACTTTTTTCCTTTGAAGCGACAACGGTGGAACTGCAGAAGAGACAAAGTCCTGCACCCGGTCAAAACATTTGGCATATGACCAATGGATACGAAGTCCTTGTCTGCACCTACTACATAATATCAAAAGATTTTCTTTTCCCGGATAAAACTCTCGTCCATCACCACCACCAACCACCGTGATCTGCCGCTTCAATGGAAATAACACCGGTGCACGCCCTGAACCTAACCGGCGTCCTCTTCACGTCAAAGAGGATTATCAGAGCTAACTACTTCCACTTCCTCTCCTTATCTCTCTTCTTCCTCCCTCTCTCCGTCTCTCTCATCATCACTCCTTACTTCCACTACTCCGGCCACCACTTCCCCGTCGATCTCTTCAACAACTTTCCGCAAAATCATAAGGCTGTGAGTTCTCATCTCCTTTACATCCTATTCATCTATATCTCCACTCTCTGCGCCATAGCCACGATCTCCTACAGTACATACCATGGTTTCGAAGGTAAACACGTCAGCTTCTTCACCGCCCTCAAGTCCCTAACCTCATCCATCTTCCCGATCATCGCAACCGCGATTGTAGCTCACGCCCTTCTGTTTCTAATCTCGTTAACTTTCCTCTTGTTTGTTGGAGTAGTTTTCACGTCGGGTCAAAGCCTAGGGTTTGTAATCGATTACAATTCGATTCACTTCACTCTGTTTTCCGTCGTCGTAGTTGCGACATTAATCTCAGTAATAATCTATTTCCACTTGAATTGGTCTTTGGCTTTTGTGATCGTTGTTGCCGAATCGAAATGGGGATTAGCGCCATTGATTCGAAGCTCGTATTTAATTAAAGGGATGAGATCTGTTTCATTCTTATTGTTGTTGTATTTTGGTATTTTTAGCGGGATTTTTGTGTGGTTGTTTTTGTGTGGTTATTTTCCTATGCTTGGTTCCTTCTTCCTGATGCTTATGTTCCTTCGGAGCACTGCTAGCAACACTGTATTGTATATGTACTGCAAGGCTTTGCATGGTGAATTGGCACTTGAGATTGATGAGGGGTTTGATCACCATTACATCAACTTGCCTTCTGATGAAGAGAAAGTCCCTCAAATTGTTTCTGTTGTAGCAGCTTGATGATCAAGGTTGGTGGGTTCTTTACTGTTGTGCTCATATGGTTTTGTTTTATACATACAAGTTTTATATAGAATTGTTTAAAAAGTAAAAACATTTGTAAGCGTGTAAAGTTTATATCCTTTTCCCTGTTTTGAGGACATGTGTTATGGCTATGTTACGTATGTATGTATATTTCTTCATGTTGCTGAATTTGTTCATATTTCATCGGTTTGTTGATTATAGCACCATATTTCCATTTCTTCTGTTTAAAGCATTGTACTATGGTAGTTATACTTATTTGGGATGTTTTTTCAAAGTACATTGCTGATAAATGCTAGAATGTAGAGATTTTATATAACATTTCTGTATTAATCGGGTGGTTGATCTTAATTTGAGGTCTGGTTAAGCACTAATTTGGTATTTTCGGTTTTTAGACCTTATGGATGACTATCAAGGTAAATGATGGACTAATGCTAGAATTAACAAGGAACCAATCTGATTTTTATCCGGGTTTTTCACATCTCAAAACGAGCATTTCAATAAGCCCAAAAGTAGAAAATAAATCACCAAAGGGCAGCCCACTTTGCAACAATTTGAGTTTGACAGCTCATTTGTGTCCAAACATAGCAATCAATAGCAGGCTTTTTAGTAGCCCAACAACATATTTTCTGGGAGCCTGAAAAGACCAATATGGCTGCTAACCGAAATCATATCCAAAATTATAGTAAAGAGTAAATTACACGAATGGTCTTTATAGTTTGGGGTAATTTGCACGCTTGGTCTCTAATTTAGTTTTTCAACTCGGAAGGTCCCTACTATTTGGTTTTGTTACGCGCTTGATCCCTACTTTTTGTTTTTGTTACACGTTTGGTCTCTGTCTTACCTTAAAAAACTATTATTTAAATAGAGAAAAATGGTGGGGTAGGTAAGGTAAGGTGAGAGGTGTAGAGTTGGAGGTGTGTTTAATTAAATAAATTTAAAAAATCAAGGGAAATATAGTTTTTTAGGTTAGACAGGGACCAAACGTGTAACAAAAACAAACAGTAGAGACCTTCTGAGTTAAAAGAATAAGATAGGAACCAAACGCGCAAATTACCCTATACCATAGGGACCATTCGTGTAATTTACTCTATAGTAAAATCAGCATCTTATTGGCAGCCTTTTGTGATAAAAGACTCAACAGAAAAAGAGTGAAATGGTAACCGAGCTGATAGAATATTTAGCAGCCAAATGTGGAGTGAGAAATGAAGAGTATAGAGTATGAGTGACAAATCGGTCATTTGTGTTGTGTTTTTTAACTGATATTATACGATGATGTTTTATATAACATGGACACGATATGATATTGTATCGGGATTTGCTTTACTAACATGAAAAATGACCCAATTAAAACAAGATTAAAACAACAAACACATAAAAAATAAAATAAAATAATTATTTGGTTTATTTGATTCTTAATTAATTATACAAAACACGATAAATATGAAAACACCACAAACGCATGTTAATTATGTCAATGTTGTATCGAATTTTGAACATTAATACGAAACGATACTAAATTGAGTTTTTTTTTACACTTGATACGTATTCAAAATCTAATTTCGTCTTAATCTTGTTTCGTGTCATGCCATGGATTGCCGTACCATTACAACTTACAAAACATGAAATTCTTTATGTTATGTTGAATTTTGACTTTCATCATTTTGACTTATTATGCACCGTAGGGGTTTATGGTTATTTTCTATTACAACAAAATTATATTTCTTCCTTGAAAATCTACCCAAATTGTAGCATTGTATATTAAAGATCTATTAAGTTGAAAGAGTGAACGTCGTTTTGTATTTTGAAGACGTTGCTATAACTGGGTTAAAACTTTCTAACAAAAGACAAAACTGCAAAAATGGTCCCTGTGGTATACAATTTTTTGGGGTTTTAGTCAAAACCACGACTTTTTTCGCTTCGTGGTCCTTTTGATCATGTTTGTATGTAAATTTGGTCCCTCGTAAAATTGAAATGACTATAATGCCCTTCTGATATATTTTTTTTAATGTTTTTTCTATTTAATTTAAATGAAAAAGAAAATAAGTAAATTTCGGCCCACATCTCTCTCTCTCTCTCTCTCTCTCTCTCTCTCTCTCTTTCTCCTGGTTTGTGACCTCATCTGCAAAAAACGAACCCTATGTCTTCTTCACCATTTTCTCTTTACCATTGTTGTGGATCATTCAGCTTCAAACATAAAATCCCAAACCACAAGCTCGATTTGTTTCACACACACATACATCGATTCATCTATTTGCTCATCCTCAATTCCAAATCTGCAAACAACTATTCTCTTCTCCTAAGAATCTTCCATTCCTTAATTCAAGATCAGTTCCAACTCCCCCCATGTACAAGAAAGAAACCTAATTTCCAACTGGAACCACCTTCTTCTTCCTCCTCTACCATCGCCCATCCTCATCTGCAAACACCCATCACTTGTCTCCTTAGCACCGAAGCAAAATATCTCCACCACCATTTTCCTCGTTCTCGTCCTCAAACACATACAACAAAGAAGCATCAGAGCAATGGAAGCTGTGATGTTGAATATGGTGTTCCTCATCCCATCGATATTCCCTCTTCCTCCACTCACTATATCGTTTAATCAGAAAGAAATATCACCGAAGCCGATGACGAGATGGTAAAGGAATACCTCAAGAGAATTTATTTCTTTCCTATAGAGGTGATATTGATGTCCATCTTCGTTGTAGCTCATTAATTCATATATTATGTTGATGTCTTGGCCTGGAATTATGTAGCCTGACGGGATCTAGAATTGGAATTGGAAACTAGATTGGGATTAAATCTAGAATCCCAATCCAGTTTGTGAAGCTAACCCTAACGAGATTCACGAGAGAGGAAAACGAATCCTGGAATCGGGCCAGAAAACAGATTGTCTTGGATGTAGAGATTATGGAGGTTAACTAGTGAGAAGATGTATGTGGGGAGTGGACCGGAGAGGGCGTTGTAACGAATTCAGAGAGTGGTGAGTTGGGTCAAATTGTCGTGGGTGTTGTCTGGGAGTTTGTCGGAGAGACCCATTCCAGGGAAGTGAAGTCCGGCGACACGGTTGGTTTTGTTGTCGTAGAAGAGTCGAGCCATGTGGAAGGATTTTTCTTCAGGTCATGTTTATTGGCGATGAAGAGGGGGAAGAAAATGATTACAGAGAAAAAGAAAGGATTTTTCTTCATCTTGGAGAGAGAGAGAGAGAGAGAGAGAGAGAGAGAGAGAGAATGATTCATCTTAGCAGAAATTGGTTATATATAATAAACCGTACCATGTGAACGATCTAAATCAAACCATCCAAGGCCTATGGGGAAGGTCAATCGCAGAACAGTAACAATATTTTAAGTGTAAGAGTTTAACCAAGAACTATTATGTGGAAACTCAACTGCTAGGCTTCCATCACTGGAAAATGAAGTAGTCTATGTTGAATTTTAGTATATATGTTAACCCATTTTTAATTTTTACTTTTAAAATTAATAGATTACGTGGAAATAACATGACATGTTGCCTACATGTCATTAGTGTCAATTAAGTGTGTAACCTACAAACATCTAAGTGTTGGAGTAGATCCCTTATTTTATCATCTGGAAAAAAAAACTTTTAACGACCAGATTGATATAAAATACATATTTGTTTGTGCTACAATATCATCTTTTACTATATTACTAATTTTCGTTTAATTTCATTCTATTTTCATTTAGGTTTTAAAATTCATCTTTTATTTCTACAAAATATATTTTATTATTTATTTATATTAAATACATCTGTTAAGAAGTATACCACAAAAAAATGTGTATTTTTTCGAAAAGCAACATCATTAAAACTATTATAAATGCTTTTATAAGTATATCTCTTCATATTTAACATATTTCTAGCTAATCTTAATTTAATAATAAGAAATAAACTTAAACAAAATAGATTTCATATAAATATATTTATAAGATTTATCCAAGTCACATAATATTCAAAATTAAAACTTTATCGTATTTTAATGAGTACGTTAGATATCACATAATATTCAAAATGAAGTAATCGAGCATTAGATATCAAAAACTCACATTGTTGTTGTATATACGAAGTAAATATCAAAAAATAAAATAAAATAAGTCTAGGGTTTTACTTGGAGATGAAATCGAGCAACAACAACGAAGAAATCGAGCAGGAGATATGCGACTGAGGAAGTAGAAATCGAAAACTCACTGCAAGGTTCGTTTAACGGTGACAGCAAGGTCGACCGGTGGTGATGCTAAAGCGGTGATGGTGATGTCGATTGCAGATGAAATTGAAGATGAAAATGATGATGTCGATTGTAGATGAAATTAAAGACGAAAAGGTGGGAGATTGCAGGCGGCCGGATTCGGGAGGGAAACAAAACCTCAAAATATTTGGGGGAAAAGGAAACGGGTAAACAAAACCTAGAAATATTTTGGAGGCTAAAATAACAGGGACTAGAAAAATGCAAAAAAAAAAAAAATGGTCGTCATACGATTCAAACTCAGGATTCTATATGTACAATGTTAAGGATTTCAACCAACAGGCCGGACATGCTACATCCATATACAAAAGCTCTTTAAGTTCTTTTATACAATACCGAATTGCATTCTATTATTATTATTATTATTATTATTATTATTATTATTATTATTATTATGATTATTATTATTACTATTATTATTATTATTATTATTATTATTATTATTATTATTATTATTATTATTATTATTATTATTATTATTATTATTATTATTATTATTATTATTATTATTATTATTATTATTATTATTATTATTATTATTATTATTATTATTATTGTTGTTGTTGTTGTTATTATTATTATTATTATTATTATTATTATTATTATTATTATTATTATTATTATTATTATTATTATTATTATTATTTTCTTTATTTTAAATAGAACTTACTTTTAAAAAAAAAATTCTGTTAAACAAATTTTACATTTTTTATAAGGTTTTTTT